CTGTCCTCTTGGCCCAAGGATGCTCTGGATTCCCTACAGCTGCAGCCTGGCCCAAGATCTGTTCCTGCCCCTCATCCCTGTGGTTGCAGTCCCATGTGGAGCCACCTCCCACCCTGTCCCAGCTGGCCAGGATCTCTCAGCTCACTCGTGCAGCTGTGTCTCTTCACCCTAATTGCTTTGTTTTGCCAGACTCAAATGTATTAGAAAACCTCAACACTCATTTTGCAGGACCTGGTGCTTGGTGAGACCCTGGTGGGGCAGCACCACGCCAGCTTCTCAGGCAGGGCCAGGATTGGCATCAGTCTGGCATTGCTGTTCCCATTTCAGTGCTGGGGCTCAGTGGGCACATTAAGCCCAGCTTGCAGTGGCCCATTTTGGCAGGTCCCCAGGGAAGGGAGCATTGCTCTCCCCCGTGGCTGGTGCAGGGCTGTGTTTGGCTGTCAGGCAGCAGGGAGCAGGTCAAGACTGCTCTCTAGAAAACGCAGCCTGTCTGCGTTAGCCTGGACGTTGAGCATGAAATGAAGGTTAAAGGACAGAACAATATTTTTTTCCATGCCTCCCTGCATTCATTGTGTGGGCACTTTACATATAAATAGGCTCATTTCAGCATGGGCTATCCCAGGGCCAAGGCAAGAAAGGCCCGTGTCCCTGCTCCCAGGAGAAGGGTGATCCCGCACAGAGCCTGGTGTGCCCAGCACAACAGCCTGCTCACACCCACGACCCGAAGCCTTTGTCCTTGTAGGATGTTTAGGGTCGAATAATTGCTGTTTATTTTTCTCACTTAGCCCTTGTTTATTTCTGAGCTTATTTTGCTGTTGCTGAAGCCTTGGCTGAAGACATGGTGGTGGGCTCAGCCTGTGTCCCACTGATGTGCTCATATAAAACAAGCACCAGTGGCTGGCAGCAGTTCCACAGGGATTGGGGCCAGGCTGAAGCAGCCCCATGGTTGAGACCACCTGCTGGGTGCTGGATGCTGAGCTGCAAAAGATATCAGTGATTGCCATGTATGTTTTCCCATTTGTTAATCCTGTTTAATATCAGGGTTACTTCCTACAGTTCATAGTTTGTGGTGACTCGGGAAAAACATGCTGTGGATGAAGTAAACTCTAATTTATTGAGTTGGGATTAGTTGCAATGTTGGTGAAGGTTTTTTCTTAAAAAAGCATTGCTGAAAAGGTGGGAATTGCAGGAAAATACATCTGTGTAGTCACCATTTGAGGAATGTTTTTACCCACACTGCTGCCCACCGCAGGGGCAGAGCATCTCCTGCCCTGGCTGGGGTCCTGAGGGTTCTCCCCTGCCCCTTCCCTGCTCCCCAGAGGGTGCCCCTTGGACCTGGCCAGGATCAATCAGCTTCACTCATCAAGAAAACAATAAATTAGTTGGTTTGCAGGGTACCAAACCAGAAATATGCATTTCCCAGCAGTGTGGTGGGAGAAGCACCGGTGACACCCCTGAGGCCTGAGGCCAGGCTGAATGGGGCTTTGAGCAACCTGGTGCAGTGAGTTTAGGGTGGGGTGGTTGGAACTGGATGATCTTTAAGTTTCCTTCCAACCCAAACCATTTGAGGGTTCTGTGGTAAATACCTGTGGAGCATCCCAGATTGGTCTAAGGGACAGCAGTAGGGAGGGACTCTTTCTCTTCTGATGAAAAGATAAGCAGGCTCTTTCATTTTTTTTCTTTACAGTTTTATTTACAAAATGTATTAAAACTCTTTGTACAACACCTCATCAAAATGAGGCTCAGTAATTGATGCCCACACATGCAGTTTATGCTTTTACAGCCATTAGTTTGCTTGGCAATTTTTCTGCTCACTGAAGTGCAGTTTCAACGACCAAAAATAGGAACTTAAATTACAAAAAAAAAAAGGAGGAAAAAAACCCCAAAAGAAAAGGAAAGAACCCCCAAATCCCCCAAAGCAAAACAAATTAAAAAAATATACCAAAACAAATCATTGTGAGACTACTGCCGAACTTCCAATAGCTTGAAGTTGGTAGCCGGAATTGGTAAGCACTCAACACATTTTGTTTTAGCTTTACATGCAAGTTTAAAAAATATCGAACCATTTACCAAACTCCCTTCACTGGTGTGAAGCCTCCACTCTTAAAAATTGATCTGATAAACATACATCTTTTATACAGCTTTTAAGAAAAATGTTTGTTTTAAATACAACTCATAACCGCACAGCTTTAGCTCGCCCTTGCTGGGGACGTGATCGCGTTCAGAAGTCGAAAAAAAAAAGATCACAGTTTCATGAAAAGAAAATGAAAACAAAACAACAATTTTTTTGTCAATATCTTGTTAAAAACTCGAACAATAAATTATTCTCCTATGAGCTTTTAAAATGATTTTATATTACAGTTTGTTGGAAATACTTATTTTTTTACGAGACTTTCTTTTTCTTTTTTTTTTTTTTTTGTTTTTGTTTTTAAATCCTATTAAAAGTTCAAATCTATCATCAGCAAACTAAACTCCTAAGGGTCAGACTGGTTTAAATGAGTTTCTTTTTCATTGTATGTTACTGATGAAATAAAACTCTATATCGTAAACTACAGAAAATACATATTGTCGATTAGAGGTAATTAGTATGCAGATATTCCATTGAACATTTCCCATGTGATTGACAATATGTTTAAAGGTTTGTGGTTCCTTTTTTTTTTTTTTTTTTTTTGTCTTTTCCCTTTTTTTTTTTTTTTTAAATTATTATTTTTAAAGATGAAGTTAAGTAGTTTCCAGGCAGAGGTTCAAGGCTGAAATGCTGCTGTCTAGGATGCTGGATGTGAGTAATAGCGAGGCCCTGCCTGGAGCAGAGCTGGCGGAGCGCGGTGTCCTCCTCACTGGGAGGCAGGGACAGGAGCATCCTCTCACCAGGAGCCATGAAACAAGAGTTGGCAGGAGCTGATATAATATAACAGTACTAGCAGGAGTCATGTTAGATCGCTTACTATTACTCTGGAACTGCAGCTCTAATTTGAGTTACTATCCTCTTCCCTTACTTCTGTTTTACAAGGACCATTACTGAGAAGCATTAGCTGAGCACAGTGCTAGTTGGGAGAGAGCTGGGGTGAAGCAGAAGCAGGCCTGGGAAAAACTAACCTGCCCTTCTCTTGCTTCATTGCTTGATATTAAACAGTGAATTAAAATGCAAATGCACAGCAAGAAAAGAGATATATGGTCTGAACCTAAACAACAAGTAGCTTTTCCTTTGTTTTTTTATTTTAAAAGCCACCCAATGTCATTTTAATAAAGCACCTGTAGGTATGCCTGATGATAGAACAAAAAAAGGAATGCAATATTTTCTGCCTGCACTTTAGCTACCTTGTCAAGGAATTAATTTACTGATCTGGAAGCAAGACATGCAGTTCCACAAATTCCCTTCTTTTGGATTTACGGATTCACAGTCATTGACCTTAATTGGTTTGAATGCACAGACTCTTTTCTTCAGGTGTTGCACCTTTTACTGTTATACAGAATTGCTCAAATTAGCTGGAGAGATCAAAGTGGCTCAGAAAAAAAAAATAAAATCACACCACTGTAAGTAAAGACTGAAACATCTTGACATCAGCTCCTACAAGCAGTGGCAGGCCGGTCCGCGTTCGCACGCAGCAGATTTCTGAGGCTTTGTGTCAGGAGGAGTTTCATAATTTGATACGACTGGGGTGGCTGAGGAAACCGGCTGCCATTTGCTTTCAGGACACAAGTTCAGTTACTGTGCAGTGGTATCAAAGAATGGCTTTCGTTGCACTGATTTTTTTTACAAGAATTTTTTTTTCACATACCAATATCTTGTTACCAGTCCTTTCCTTTTCTTTTTCCTTTTCTCTTTTTCTCATTTTTCTTTTTTTTTTTGGTTTTATTTTCTTTTTCTCTTTTTTTTTTTTAATTTTCTTTTTCTTTCATTTTCCTCTCTTCTTTTCTTTTACTTCTTTCAAGCAAAGCAAGAATATTTCAGTGATGGTTTGCATTGTTGTGAGTCTCAGAGTCTTCCATAAGGCACTGAAGGAAAAAAAAAATCAGTTTTTCCTATTAAAAGTACATTGCACCATCATCAACGCGTGTCATGCCTGACACCTCGGAGAGAGTACGACTGGCTCAGGTGGTCCAAATCCATGAAGTAGCCACATTCTCTGCTGCTTTTCCTCTTGCATGCTGTCAGGGTGAGGATCTATAATAAAACCAGAAAGATTTCATCACTGCCTGGCAGCGAGAGGCAGGAGAGCTCAGCTGGGGGAGAGGCACAGGCTGTGGGCTAACCAGGCTTTTCCAGAGTAATTTTTCAGCAATTCAGCTCTATTTTTTTTTCCTGCTTTAGAAATCACAAATTCTAGTGTAGAAGTTTTTGTTCTATTGTAGATTTTTTTGAGACTTCCTAAGAGCACTTACCTGATCACAGTTTAAAAAAGAAAGGGGAAGAGATCACCAGCAAGAGAGATGTGATTTTTAAAGCATTTAACAAAATACTTCCATTTTGAACCAGCGCGATGCTGGAGAGAGGAGTTACTCACTACAGCATGAAGCCAGCTACCACTGTGTGCAGTACAGGATGGTACCAAGCTTACTTCTGATCAGGGCAGAAATTTAAACCACTGACACTTCGAGACTGCCACAAGATGATGTTTCAAAAGCCCTCTTGCAGCAGCCCGCTGATGCACACAACACAACAGCACAGACAGTTAAAAAAAAGAGAGAAAGAGGAAACCCCAGCGGGTTCAGCCCCCGGCCCGCAGCCGTACCCCTAGATTTTCACACTTTCTGTGCCGTACACGTTGTAGCCTTCTCTGTAGGTAGCGTAATTCTGGGTGTTGGTGGCGGGAGCGGGTTTGAAGTTCTGCGTGTTCTTGGTGAGTTTCATTCGCTTGGACTCGGCCCGAGACTTGTAGCAGAACTCGATCAGTGCCACCATCATGGCCAGCCCCAGGCCTCCCACAAGGATATAGAACACCCCAGCAACATTGCTCAGGCTCAGAGCGCTCGTCTTGTCCTAAGAGAAACGAGCGACGCCGTTAGCTTTGCTGTGAGGAGCAGACGGGCAGACAGACAACAAGTTACTTTGTACTTAGTCCTAGCAGGAATAGCTGCACTCGTGGTGTTTGGTGTCCGGCTCACGGACCGGTGCTGTCCCCCCATCCCCGCAGCCTGGGGCTGCACAGCAGTCACTGCTCTGCCTTCCACCCTGGGGCGGGTGAAGCCCTGGCTGATTCCAAGGCGATGAGATATTTTTGGCCACTGACTGTCCCAGGCCTTTGGTGTCCCAGAGCAAACCTGCCTACGGCCGAGCATCCCTGGTGGCAAAGGCACTGCGGGAAAGCTGTGCCGGGGAAAGCAGTGGCTGAGTAAAACTGCGGGTTTTAGAAAAGGCCGTGACAAAACCAGAACAAGAAAAAGCCAAACCACTGCACACTTGGTTCTGGTGAATGTAGGTAAAATTGCTGAGATGCTGCTAAATTTATCGACATTTTTTTTCAATATTAAAAAAAAAAAACAACACCCTAGGAAGATGGTCAGTTACTTAGAGGTCAAGCAGCAGAGTCCTGAGCTAAACTAGCACCTCTGGGAGACTGAGTGATTGAATAAAAACAGACATTGTAAACCAAAAATCACTGGCCAGGGTTTACCTTCCTTCAATACATGTCAGATGGGGGAGAAGCTTGCATTTTTAAGAACAGGATTCTGTAATCAGAATAAATAGAGCTGCAACCCTTCTGCTGCTGCACGGGCAGGTGGGCTGGCTGTGGGCAGGAAGGGTGGCTGGCACGGCCCTGGCTGGGCTGGCACACCACACCACACCACTCTGGGACGGACAGGCAGGGGCCAAAGCAACCTGGCTGTGCCCAGAGAAGACCCTTGCTGACAGAGCTTGGTTAACAAGTCTCTCCAAGGAGAGAAAAATTCGCACATAGTCAGAATAAAATAGGGTCTACCTTGCAAGTGTCTGTGCATTTCACGAGCAATTTGGATACATGCAGTTGTAACAAACAGCCTGCCATGTAAACTAAAGATCTTACTCATTTATACCTCTTTCCAATTGCACTTCCCTTCTGCAGCTGCTGTGTGTTCACATATCCCATGATCCCAAATTTATCTCATACAACAGCCACAGGGTTGTGCCCTAAGCAACTTCCAGTCCAACTGAAATCAATGAAATTTTATTACTGGCTTCGCTGGAACTTGAAATTGTCCTCCGACACTGAGAGGGTGCTTTGAAATTATAGTTTTCTGTTTGAATGATTACAGAGAGCACTTCCAAAGGCACCAGGGGAGTTAGGCACTCAACTGCGACCGATTTCAGCTGGAGCTGGATTTCTCCTCCTCTTAGTGCCTTTGAAAATGTCCTTCACTCCAACAAGCCCAGCACTTTTACAGGGTTTTTCTCCCCAACGGGTCTATAAGCATTAAGAAAAAAAAACCCTCTGTGTTTTCTTTTAACTGAATGGTGTAAATAAATATTTCCTGCAATTTAAGGGGTGATCCACCTCAGGAGCGTGATCTCCCTGGAGACTACAGTGGTTCCACATGAGGCTGGCCAGCCCCACAACACAGCTGGTGGGCAACAGGGCAGTACAGCAGCAAAATGGTTCAAAGCAATACAAAAAGGAATATACAACATTTAGGTAATGACTCACCATTGGGATTTCTAGATTTTTTTTTAAAAAATCCAACCAATTTCAGACTGAATTGGGAAACAAGGTGGGAGAGGAGTTTTTTCCTTATCAATGGTCTGTCCTGAAAATTTACATCCTTAGCAAGCATGTGACTGTCTCCCAAACTGACATGTAGAGAAGTTAACTCATAATTTTGAAACAAAAATGTGTTTTTTTCAATAAAACTAAAAATAAGAAAAGATGCTGGCCTGAATAATACACAATAACTGTGCTAAAATTTTTGCATTTAATTGAAAACACCACCTTGGGAGACTTTGGGGGCTTCTCTCTGCATGTTTTTCTAGCAAAATACTCACACAGTAAAACATACTTACAACTACAGTCTGCTACTGCATATAAGAAAAACGCTGTCATGTTCTGAGACTTAAATTATTTTTTCTAGTCTTTTCTTTCAACCTTCAAAATGTAAATAGCAACTTCTGAAAGTCATTCTTGGTATAAACAAACAGTGGGTCAAAATGTGATTGCTAATCAGTACAAAAAGACCTTCAGCGACTGACCTTACTTCCGGAGTCCTTGGCTCCACATTCACCCTTATCGTACCACCATTTGTTTTTCAGCTTGTCTAAGATGCCTTGTTCACTGAGTTTCAATACTGCAAGGTTTACAGGAGTTCTTCACGTGGGAAATAACATAAATAACATTATATTATGTTATTTTATGTTATTCAATCTTTAAACTACTTTAATACTATACAAAGCGATAAAGCAGGGTTCCTGGCCACAAAGTATTTACACTGCAGGCAACTGGATCATCCCCTTAAGTTAACTCTAGAGCATCTCTACATTACCAGGTCCTGCCCATATCGCTTTGAGTAATCGGCACTCACTGTTAAATGAAGGCAGCAGAAACAAAGCAAGGCCAATTTCCCAGTTTGGTGCCCCACAGACACCTGCAGTAGCTTTATGGATTCGGGTGGGTTTGATCTAGCAGGACCCTCGTATTGCACTAACAGACAGAAGCCCCAGATCCAGCCCCTGTGGCTCCTCACAGTCAAACAGTGCTCGTGGCTCCCGGTCCCCCACAGCCCACAGTTGTGTGTGTGTGTGTGTGTGTGCACATCTGCAGAGCAAAAGCCCCCAGGGGGCATTCCTGGAGGGAGGCTTTGCCAGCGCTCTCGGCTGCTTCCCTGCCAGTGGTGCTTCTCCAGCTCCTGTGGTTGCTGCTGCAGGAGCTGTGCTCGGAGGCACAGTGCTTGGCTGCGCTCCCCGGAGCTGCTGCATCCTGAACTCCCCCAGCCCAGGGAACTGCAGCAGAAAATAAGCAAATGCAGACCTCTGTGAAGCAAATGAGTGAATATGGAAACGCTTGCTGAAAGTGCCCAGGGTGGGAAATGCTGGCAGGACAAAAGGAGCTGCTGACTGGTGTTGCCAAGAGCCCACAGCCCAAGGGTACCTGAGCTCATCTGCCTCTTTCCTGTGGGAAAGCAGCACCCGAGGAGCTCTCAGTCGGGTTTTGTCATTTCCACTTCCTCCTTGTGTGATGTCTTGGGTTTTTTTCCTGCCTGCTTCGATTAGACAGGCTCCCTGCATAAGGGACATCCTCAGTTCCTGCTCCTGCTTGAAAAGCTCTGATTCCTGCTCCATGGCTGTGCAGGGCAGTTGGTGGGGCAGAAAGGGCTGGGCCCTTATCCTCAGCCATGCTGTGCCACTTTGCATGGGATAACACCAGGCAGACACATGCACGGCCCGCTCTGGGTCCATCCAGGCCTGTTGTCAGTGGAGGAGATGCAGGAGCTGAGCCCATGTCTGCCCCAGTGCCAGCCTCGTGTCTGGATCTTGCTGCTCCCTGTCTTTCTCCCACCCTTGGCCAAAGGGCCTGAGACTCTGCTGAGAGGAAGACACTCAGGAGAAAGAGCAGCACAACCTATGCAAAACACCTGAAATACAAGCTTAACTGCACAATGGAATTTAGGGAAAGGTCCCCAGACCAGGAGGGCCGAGCCCTGCCATGCCTGGGGCAGGGCAAGATGCTGGAAGAAGTAGCTGGTAAAGAAAAGCCCCCTTCCCTCATCTGTGAAGGAGCTGCCTCTGAGATGGCTGTGAGATTGTCGGTGACAGCGCTGCCCTCGGAGGTGCTGCCCTGTGGGAGGAGGGCAGCAGCCCATGGAGGTGGGATAGGCTGTGCTCAGCTGAGCCCAGGCAGCTTCTGCAGCACCAGATAAAAATGAGCATGTTCAAGAGCTCCTGAGCTGAACTCCCCACTCCCACTGACATGACCCAGTGTGGTGTCACCAAGGCCACCAGGAAGGCAAGGGCAAGGAAAAGCCAGCGAGGTGAGGAGAACCCACCAGTCCCTGATCCCAGCGGCAGCAATGCCAGCACTGCCTGCAGAGCTTCCTGGATGCCCAGGGAGAGGCAGCACCACTTCTGGTCTGCACAGGGCTCCATCTGACACCAGCCAAGATTTTATTTTTATAAAATGGCTATTTTTAAGCGGCAGCTGTAATCTAATTAAGTATCAATCAGGGCTGGCTGTACGCACTCAGGCGGACACAGCCGACGGCTGGCGGTGACAAGCCGCAGGAGACTGACCATGTTTGCTGGCTCGGTGCTGGCAGCAGGCACAGAGCCCCTCCACCAGGAGCCAGCGGCATCCTAAAAAGCCAGCTGTGCTGCAGCTACACTTACATCCTCCTGTAGGTAGGGCCATAAAACATTAACAGGATCAAAGCACGCTCTGCACACTGCAAACACCCCGGGTGCTGCAAGTAATGCACCTGCCCCGCTGGGTTACACTGATGGCCACCAGCCAGGTCCTAGTGAGGCCACCACTGTGGACTCTCCTGGACAGCAGTGGCTGTGTTGAGACCCCCAGTGACACCCAGGCAAACACACCATGAGCAGCCGTGCATGACTGAAATGCCAGTCAGTGAAAGCTGAGTGCCTTTACCTACCACTTACAAGCACCAGCAGAGAGTGGGGTGAATTATTGTTTAGAGAACAGTGCTCTCATTTTAAATTTCATTTAAAAACCATCCAATTTGGAGAGATTTTATGCAATACATCTCTCCGCTTTGAAAAGCATTGTACAGCTGAGAATACACAAACAATAGAAAGAAGGTTATAAACACCTTTCCTCCTACCTGCATATTTTATTGTGCAAATTTTCCCCTCCCCCCAGTCCTATTCCAAACACTATTTTTAATTTGCATGCCTTTACAAACCCCATACGGAGCACCAAGAATTTGCATAACATCCAATACATTATAGATTAGCTTTCACAACATTATACAGTACTGGGAAATGAGGAGGCTTAATATGCTAATTAGGGTGCTGTATTTTTTTTTCAAAACCAAGATTGCAGTTAATTGTGCACACGCAATTGCCAAAAAAAAAAAAAAAAGAAAAAAAGAAAAAGTAGTAAACTAAAATTATCTTAGCTAAACAGATGGGAATTTGCCTAAACTGGGGTTTTCACTATAGTTTGTCACGGCCCTGTTTGTCAGGTGAGGTCCCTCAGCCTGGGTATGAGAGAGGTGATTTGGTTCATCCGTCTGTCCCAGAATGAGGAGATGAATGGGATGGGCAGACAGGTGTCAAGGAGCCACTGCCTGCTTCTGGCCCACCAAGGCTTTGCTGGTGGAGCTGTCACTATGCCAGGGGCTCCCCTGCTGGGGCTGTTCCTCCCCTGCCTTAGCCCATCCCGCTCCCCCTGCACACGACCTGGAGATTTGCCTGAGCCAGCTCCAAGCCCCCCTCAGCTCGGCTGTTTTGCTGACTGGGGCACTGGGATGAACATTGGTACCTCAGTGAGGACACCCTCTCAATGTGCAAGAAAAGGCACCAATTTGTGAAGCAAAAAATGCAGTTTGTTTTGTTAAAGGAACAATTTTGTCAGCTTCCAGGAAATAAATCCCAAGACCTCCTAATACATGAGCTGCTTCCCGTGTAGCAGGATTTGAGCGACCTGATGGTGGGAGAAGACATGATGCCTCTGCAACCACTGGTCCAGTGCCTCAGGAATGCAGTGTAAGCTGGTGTGGGATGAACTCCTCCACTCCCAAATTCCCAGGGTAAGTAAATATATTGCAAAGCGAGCCTGGCTGCTGGTACATTTTCTGATTGCTCATCTCTGAGTGGTTGTGTAGCCTGGTTCAATTTAACAGACAGAGTCAGGTATGCTTTTAGCTGAGATCCTGATGGGAGTGCAGAGTGCCATGTCTGGATCCTGGCATTTTCTCACCCATTGACCACCAATCCTCTGTACGTCCCCTCAGCTCACAACCAGCTGGTCCCACCAGCGCCCAGCCCATGCCAGTGAGTCCAAGGCCACCAAGTCGTCAAGTGTTCTGTGGGCTGCTGTGGAGGGAAGCACAGGGCTCTTTTGGGAGTGAGGGCTGATGGCTGTACAAAGAAGAACTTCCATAGGTTGCTCTGGCATTGTTTGTTTGATGGGGAGATTTTTTTTTGAATCGCCTCAGGGGCAGAGGAAAGTAGACACTAAATGACTTGCCTGGGTCCCATGGGAAGGCTGTGTCCCCAGCCACTTACTTGTCCCCCTGTCCAGCCCAGAGGATAATTTCCTCAGTTTCTGTGTCTCTCTCTCAAAAGACTTCCATTTCCTCATCTTTTTCCTGGGATAATTTTGTGTCTTTCAGCTGTTTTTCTAACTGGGTTGCTGTTGATGGGCTGTATAGGATAACCTATGAGGTCCTCAGCCCTTTCCCAGGTGGCTTCCACTGTTTTTCCTTGCTTTTATTTATGATGTGGTTCTTTTTCATCTCCTCCATGTTGTTTCCAGACCAGCTCTCTATTAGTGCAGTTGCTTTTATCCAAGTAAAACGTTCAGAGGTTTGAGCACTTGTGCTCTCTTGTGTTTGGTACACCAAGAAACTGAGATGAGGCCATTTGGATTGAGATGTCAGCTTTCTGGATGCCACAGGATGGTATCCTTGTGCAGAAACTTGCAGTGTTTTTCTTCCTCCCCATAACTGAAGGATTTTGTTGTTTCTTTGTTTGTCTTTTTCATCCAGTACATCTGGCTCATCCAGGCTTAAGCACGTGAGGTTGGATCTGTTGGGCAGTTTTACCAAACCCCACTAGGATTTTTTTTTCTTGCTGACATCTACAAATGACTGGAAGACTTGAGTTTAGAGAAGCAGTACCAGGAGCCTCGTATGGAATAGTATTGCCCTCACAGACAATTAAGCCATCTGCTATGGCTGATTTCTATTCTACAGGCTGCCACAAACATGATTTTACACCTGGGACAGAGGTGGGTCTTACCGGTGTTTCAGCTGTTTGGTTTCTCTGCTACCCTGTTAGAAGACTCTACTCAGGTGCTGGCAGTATTACCTTCCCCTCTTCAGCCATCAGTTACTGCTGGAAAACTAGCCATGCCAGTCTTTTCCCAAATTTAATGTAACACCATCTCAAAGGGAACCTCCTCTTCCCTTTGCTGTGTGGCCCTGGGGCCTCCTCCCTGCTGCACCCCAGCCCCTCTGGGCACAGGACACGAGCCCCTTTGCACCCCTTGCTGCTGGTGGCCCCAGGTGACAGGACAATACTGATGGAGTGAACTGATTTTTAAAAAACAATGTGCATTCACTCATTAAAATCCCACCCCCAAGCTTTGGGTTCAAGTTTAAAAACTCTCCAAATTCAGGAATTGCT